GAACTTTCATTAGCAATGCCAATGAGACTTCTTTGAACCCACCTGCTAGTAAAGCTGGCTGACATTTGAACTCTAAGTCTGCAGCTTTGTGCTACTTCTCTGAGTACAGTGTGACCTACCTGAGGGTAGGAGCACATCTATCTTTGAATGCACACAGACTAGAGCTAGGAGCACACAATAAATGTCGGATGAATAAAGGAATGAAATTACAAATGGTCCTGGTACTAATGCATCAAAACATACAGACAGATTGCTTTGAAATGGTAATGACTGGACCTTGCAGGCCACATCATTTTTGATCATCTCATAGAATCCTACATGCCAAGGTGGGCGATATACATGATGAAATAGGTCCTAAAGCTACGATGGACTTGTCCACGGTCTCACATCTATTTATCAAGCAATATAGCATGACAATTACAACCCATAAATGGCAGGCAGCTCATACCATCTCTCGCCACTTAACAAGACTGGGCCCAGGAAAATTTTAGACCCTGGAGCAGGTAGCACCATTCCTCTCCCCCCACCTGTCTCCTAACTCCTTGTGTTTCTATGTCCCAGTGAAATCTAAAAGAAACGGATGACCATTTACTCCTTTAAAAATCCCTGATGCCTTCAGCAACAGTCCAGAGGAGACAGATTCCTCCAGAAGATTCTGGTGCCCTCTAGAAGGGCCTCTATAGGGTACGTCACCTCCACTGCCATTCACGGTGAGTCATGGTTAGGACTGGGAAGGCATTAGCTGCCTCAAATTGCGAGGCCGGGGGGGGGGGGGGGGAATACGCAGATTAAAGGTTGAAAATCTGAGGTTTACAGAATAAAGTTTCTAACCTTTGCTTGAAGATACTTCACAAACTGGAAGTGACCTGCCCTTCCGGCCTCCTGACTAGAGCTATGCCCCACACTGTGGCCACACCAGGCTCCTGGATGCCCACACCCGATGAACACGTCGAAATCCTCACACTTCTGCTAGTGAACGCTACTAAGAAGTTCTTTTCCCCCATACACATAGTGGCCTCCTAAAGAAATTTTACCCATCTTTCAAAAGCCCAACCAAGGGTCACCATTGCTCCCTAAAGATTCCCTTGAATGCTTCCGGGAGAACCACCCATGCTCCAGCATCACCCTGGATCAGCAGTCAGCATGGATGGCAACCTGCCCCACAACAGGCTGAGATTCTCAAAGACACAGACCGAGTCCCACTCTTTACCACGTCATCATCACCTAATCGAGCCACTTGGTAAACACTGATTGAAGGGATGTCCGGATATGAGATCTGCGGGCAGCACCGTGTTGGAGATGTGAACATTCAGACACAGCAGCCTCCTTTCTCCTTCCCCTTATACACTGTCAGAATACCCAAGTTTTCTCCGTCACAGAAATTAGCACTTTGTGATGAAATCTGTGTAACACTTCACTTAAAGCTCATCTTCCACAAGACTGAGAGCTCTTTGCAGCCAGGGGCTGTGTCCGGTATCTACTGCTGCATCTGCAGGCCCAGCCCCACATCCGGCTCAGGGCTGTAGGAATGGTCAGTTGGTGATAAATGAACCCCTCACGTGACACCCTAGACAGGGGTACGTGAACCGTGAAAAGATTATGCTGAGTGACTGAAGCCAGTGACAAAAGACCACATATTTATGATTCCATTTACAGGAAATATCCAGCATAGGAAAATCGACTGAGCCAGTCAGTAGATGAGGGATTGACTAGGCAGAGGAAGAGAGAAGGGCTGGCGGGAGACGGGGGGTGACTGCTGATGGGCACGGGGTTTCTTTTGGGCGTGATAAAAATGTCCTGAAATTGACTGTGGTGATGACTGCACCACCCTGAGAATACTAAAACCCACTGGATTGTATGCTTTCAATAGGTGAATCGCATGGAATGTGAATTATATCTTAGTAAGATGTTTTTTAAAAATTGTACAAGCTCTGCTGTTATGAATATTCAAAAATTAAATCTGCTCAAGAAAGCTAAATAGTAGTATCATTAGAAGAAACCATGGGAATCTTTTAGAAAACACAGGATTTTCTCCTTAAAAAAAATAAATGCAGGTTTGATTTTATTTAGTAGGCTATCACCAGATCTTAAAAAGAATGCATGAAAACATCCGGTCTGAGCTTCTTATTTTTAAAGTACTAGAAACTGAGATGCAGAAGTTCAGTGACTTGTCTAAGGTCTCACAGGCAGTTCATAGAGACTCAATTACAGCAGCATTATTCATACACAAAAGCCAAAAGGGGGACGCAACCCAAGTGTCCATCAACAGATAAATGGATAAACAAAATGTGGTCTATACATACAATGGAATATTATTCAGCTGTAAAAGGGGAGGAAATCCCATCACATGCTACCACATAGATGGTCTTTGGAGACATCATGCTCAGTGAAAGAACCCAGACACAAAAGGACAAATACTATATGATTCCATTTATTTGAGGGACCTAGAGGAGTCAAATTCAGAGACAGAAAGTAGAATGGTGGTTGTCAGGGGCTGGGGGTAGGGAGAAGTGGGAGTTAGCATTTAATGGGTAGAGTTTCAGTTTTGCAAGATAAAAACAGTTTCGCAGATTGGTTGTACAATAATGTAAATGTACTTAACACCATTGAACTGTACACTGACAACGAGTTAAGTGGTGAATTTTATGTTATGTGTCTTTTACCACATTTAAAAATAAATTAGGGCCGGCCGAGCGGCTCATTGGTTAAGAGCTGGCTTGGGAGCGCAAGCTCTGATCAGCAGGGCCCCAGTTCAGATCCCACATGAGGGCCAGTGACGCTGCGCCCTCTACAGCTAAGATGGTGAACAACAGCTCGACCTGGAGCTGGGCTGCCATGAGTTGCCAGCAACGGCGTAGGCTGCAGTGGGGCTTCAGTGGGCTGCCATACGCTACCGTGAGTGGCTGGCGGCCAGCGTGAGCCTCCGTGAGCAGCCGTCCAATAGCTGGCAACCGATCTGCCTCAGCCGGGAAGAGCACAATGATAATACCAACATGGGCCAGTGAAGCAACGTCCTCCACAACCAGACTGAAGAACAAAAGGACAGCAACTTGTCTGTTCCCCTTCCCTGATTCCCCAACGCTGTTCCCTTCCCCAATTCCACAATAAAATCTTTAAATAAATAAATAAATTTTTTTAGAAAGATCCAACTCAAGTCTCCTAGCTCCTGTCCTCACCACACTCTCCAGCCCGGCCTTCCCAGACCCAGAGGAATGCCTCGATAAAAAGGGGAGCAGCCTCTGCTCGGTCAGACTTCACTAATGGAGAAATCAGAGGGACTGAAGTCACTGCTTCCAAGGAATTTCAAGAATTTTAACAAATCTCCACAGGTCCGATCAGCACACAGACCAATAAAACGGAGGCCACTCCATTGGTCTGAGTCATCCCAGAACAAAGCCCTGTAGAAGGCAAGACGGGGGGCTGAAACAGCGAGCTGGTGATGGATGCAGAACAGGTCAGGCTGCTTTCTCCAGGACAGAACTCCTCAGATATAACTGAGCATAGGAACCAACCAGGGGCAGCACACGTTCTGGCTCACCTGGGTCAGGCATGAGCCTGCATTTCTAACCAACTCCCAGGTGATGCTGATGCCATGTTGGTCCCAAGGACCACTCTTTGACACTTAGAGGAGCCAAGGTAGGGATGAACTGTACCCCACATTCCTTTCCCCAAACGAGATGCTAACTTCATGGGCTTGTGGCTCCATGAAATCACTGTATTTTCAGTAGAACTATGCACCCAATCACAAGCCAATAAATCTCAATTCTATTTGCTTGAGTTAGAAAACATGCATCTTCGATTTTTACGGTTTAAGAAAATGTAAGTTTGATTTATGTGAAAACTGGGTCAGTGGTTTGGCTGCTTGGTTGTAGGGATGGGAGGAACCACCTGTGGTTCATTCATTCAAGGGAATATTAAGTATGACTTAAAACTCATAAGTCAGTGGAATGTGGTCTAATATCTGATTCACAAGCTCGCTCAAGTCCCTTGGTAAGCCACACTGGCAAAAGCCACTACACAGGGAGCCCAAACTTTCTGCTTTACGTCGTCATAGACAACATGTGTTTTTAACCTTGGTTTTCATGAAGGCTGAGTTTTCATGCCAGTTCTTAGTGAAAATTAACTAGGAAGAAAAGTCATCCGCACAGTAAGAAGAGGTTCTGCAACAGTGGGAGGCTGCAATGAACAAGACAGATGTTACACAGGAAAAGACAAGCACTAAGAGAAATTAAAATAACAGATTATGTGTGTAGGATGGGAGGTCAATTAAAATTAAAAGTATTCTTGTAGGGAGAAAAAACACACACTTTTTTAAAAAGAGAAAGCAAATAATCGACCCTTTGCAATAAAAAACTATCCTAATGGGCCTGCTGAGTGGCGCAATGGTTAAGAACTGGCCTGGGACGCCAGAGGGCCCCAGTTCGGATCCCACATGTGAGGGCCAGTGACACTGCCCTCTACAGCTAAGATGCTGAACAACAGCTCAACCTGGAGCTGGGCTGCCGTGAGTCCCCAGTGACGGCATAGGCTGCAGCCCCTGTGGCAGTGGGTTGCCATGGGCTACCGTATGTAACCAGCAGCCAGCATGAGCGGCCAGCAGCCGCTGTGAGCGGCCGTCCAGAAGCCGGCGACTGATCTGCCTCGCCCGGGAAGAGTGCAATGATGGTGCCAACTTGGGCCAGTGAAGCAACGTCCTCCACAACTAGACTGAAAAACAAAAGGACAGCAACTTGTCTGTTCCCATTCCCTCAATTCCCCAGCGCTGTTCCCATCCCCCAATTCCCCAATAAAAAATCTTTAAAAAAAAAAAAAAACTATCCTAACATACTCTATCGAAACTGAATGTGGCTACAAAGAACTTTGCAACTTTGCACCAAGTGAGCGTCTAATTTTCACTGCAGTTGCTAATATGCATCCCTATATCTGTGTCAACTAATTAGCCCTCTCATTTTATTGCTATTACGATTAGCAAGTACCCAAAATAGGAGAGGGTGGCTTACCTATTACAATATCCATTAACTGATTCTCTCAAGGTTCAAAGCACATGCCTTCCACCAGTCTTGTTGCAAAGCTGATGTAACTTTTTAAAAATACCTTCACTTTCAAGGATGGGAACAAATCCATCAAATGGAAACCTAAAAATATTGAAGGAGAGAGAATGCAATGCTCAATACCAGCCACAGTGCAGTAAGATAAGACTTGTCATTGTCTGCTCTGCTGCCATCACTGATGCAACCTTTTTCGTGTAAATTGGCAACATGTAAAGACTCTTGAAAATGTGTAGACTCTTTGACCCAATAGTTCCTCTTCTGAGGATCTAGTCTAAGGAAATTACCCAAACTTCAGAAAAAGCACCATATGGAAATAAAGACATCCACTGCCGTATTTCATAATAGTATAATAAGAATTAGAGATAAGCATTGGGTTTTTTTAAATCATGTCATCGTAGCTAAGTGGGAACTACATTTCCCAGAATTCCCTCTCCTGGCTGGTACCCACTTAGGGTCGGCCACGAAGGAAGTTAGCCCAGGATATGAAAGCACAAGTGGAAAAGCAAGTGGGATATCTGGGTGATGAGCTTCCTAAGGGGCTGCGACAGGGCCACAGCCCTTCCAGCTCCTAAGCCTGGCACATGTGTAGCTCCAAGGGCAAGGGCATAGGGTCTTCTACAAATCACCCCAAATCATCAAGGTGGAAGATGATGAGAGAGAGACATGGGCTCCAATGTGTCCTGGCTCTCTTGGCTCCACCTGTGACTTTTCTTCCTGACTAACATGCCCATTTAGAGGCAAAGACAACTGACTTCCACAGATTCTAACAGCTCCCACAAGTGCACAGGGTTAAATTCCCATGATAAATCCCTCTTCCACATCCTTCACTGTTAATTTTATGTGTCAACATGACTAAGCAAAGGGATGCTTAGCTGCTAAAACAGTATTTCTGGGTGTGTCTGTGAGAGTGTTTCTAAAAGAGATTAGCATTTAAATCAGTAGACTTCGTCCAATCACTGAGGGCCTGAATAGAACAAAAAGACAGAAGAAGGACGAAGTCTCTCTTGTTTAAGCTGGGATGTCCATCTTCTCCTGCCCTTGGAGATCTCCTTTTGGTTCTGTTTCTCTGGAGAACCTTGACTAATACACTCATCAAACCCTAAATGGAGGATAATCAATGCATGCAAATTAGAGCTAAGTAAGCCCCAGTATAAGTAAGCATGGAATGTTAAACACTGGTTAAAATAATGTTTACAAAATATTTAAGAACATTTGCATCACAACCATTGTTCTCATTAAATAGGGGAAAATATCAAGCTAGAATTTAAATTTATTTTCTATTAGCTAACAAACAAAAAAACAAAGAAAAAAAGACTATACCAAAGTATACCAGAACGATAAACAATAGTTTAATCTATGTTGAGCTAGTATAAGTTTTCATTTTTTTTCCTTCTAGCATTTTCTAACTTTAAATTTTTCTGTATATTTTCTACTGTATTTTCTAGAATTAAAATTCTTTAAGATTATGTGGGGAAAGAAAAGACCCTAACTAGCCAAAATAATATTGAAGGATAAAAACGAAATTGGAGGACTGACGCTACCCAACTTCAAGACTTTCTATAAAGCTATACAGTAATCAAGACAGTGTGGTGCCAGCAAAAGAAGAGACAAATAGATCAATGGAACAGAACAGACAGCCCAGAAATAAATCTCATAAAAATAGTGAACTGATCTTTGACAAAAGAGCAAAGACAGCACAATAAAGAAAATCCAGTCTTTTCCACAAATGTTGCTGGAAAAATTGTACATCCACATGCAAAAAGAGGAGCATTGATTAACACAGACTTTACACCCTTCACAAAAATCAATTCAAAATGGATCATAGACTTACAAGTCAAATGCAAAACAATAAAACTAAAAATGAAAACCATAAAAGATAAAAAGAGAAAACCTAGATAATCTTGGGTATGGTAATGGCTTTTTAGATACACCATCAGAAGCATGACCAATGAACAAAATAATTGACAAGCTGGACTTGAGTAAAATTAAAAACTTCTGAGGCCGGCCGAGTGGCTCAGTTGGTTAAGAGCATGAGCTCTGAGCAACAGGGTAGCTGGTTCGATTCCCACATGGGCCAATGAGCTGTGCCGGAGCTGAGCTGCCACTGAGCTGGTGAGAGTGCGTGCTCTTAGCAGCAAGGTTGCTGGTTGTACATCCATATGGGATGGTGGACTACACCCCCACACACAACTAGATTGAAAGTGGCAACTGGACTTAGAGCTGAGCTTGCACCCTCCACAATTGAAGGACAACAACTTGACTTGGAGCTGATGGGTCCCGGACAAACACAATGTTCCCCTTCCCCAATTCCCCAACACTGTTCCCTCCCCCAATTCCCCAACACTGTTCCCCTCCCCCAATTCCCCAACACTGTTCCCCTCCTCAAATCCCCAATTAAAAAAAAAAACAAAAAACTTCTGCTCTGTTAAACACAACCTCAAGAGAAGGAGAAGACAAGTCACAAACTGAGAGAAAATATTTGTAAGACACATCTGATAAAGGACTGTTATCTGAACTATACTAAGAACTCAAAGCTCAACAATAAGAAAACATACAACCTGATTAAAAAATGGTCCCAAGACTTTAATAGACACCTCACTAAAGAAGATACACAAATGGCAAATAAGCATATAAAGAGATGTTCCACATCATATGTCATCAGGGAAATGCAAATTAAAATAACAATGAGATACCACTACACATCTACCAGAATGGCCAAAATCCAGAACACTGACATCAAATACTGACAAGGATGTAGAGCCACAGGAACTCTCATTTATTGCTCGAGAAATGCAGAATAGTATGGCCACTTTGGAAGAGAATTAGGCAGTTGCTTAAAAAACTAAACATATGATCCAGCAATCACACTCTGTGGGATTTACCCAAAGGAGTTGAAAACTTACGTCCACACAAAAACCTGCACACAGATGTTTATAGCAGCTTTATTCATAATCACAAAACTTGGAAGCAAACAAGATGTCCTTCAGTAGGTGATGGATAAATAAATCGTGGTGCCTCCAGACGATGGAATATTATCCACACTAAAAAGAGAGCTATCGAGCCATGAAAAGACATGGAGGAATCTTAAATGTATATCACTACGAGTAAGTGAAAGAAGCCAATCTGAAAAGACGACATGCTGTAGGATCCCAACTATCTTTCATTCTGAAAAAGGCAAAACTGGGGACAGTAAAAGAATCAATAGTTGCCAAGAGTTTGAGGGAGGAAGGTAAGCATGGAGAGTCAAAACACAGGTTTTAGGGCAGTTAAACTATTCTGTGTGATAATTATAATGATAAATACATGTCATTATAACTTTGTCCAAGCCCATAAAATGTAGGAGACCATGAGTGAACCCTAATATAAACTATGGACTTTAGATGATAAAGATGTGTCAATGTAGGTTCATCCGTTTCAACAAATGTACCACCCTGGTTTTGAATAGTGATAAAGGGAGAGGCTGTGTATGTGTGGGGACCAGGAGTATATGGAAAGTCTCGATATTGCTGTGAACCTAAAACTGCTGTAAAAAGTAGTCTATTAAAAGAATTTTGTTAATTCTTTAAGAATTATTATAAATAAGAATTATTATAAATAATAATAATTCTAAATTCTTTATTTTTTTCCTCCTTCACTATCAACTTAAGTTTTGGACATGTCATAAAAAAAATGTTTCTTCTCTAAAAAAGACTCTTTTTTGTGTGTGTATTCAACAGAATTACAAATCTGGTATTATTTCACTTCACTGCTAAAAACCCATTTGGTTATTTTCCAGGAGAAAAGCCAAACTTCTCAGCATGATCTGGCCACTGATCTTGCCAGCTTAGCTCATCTTACATCACCTAACATAAGAATAAGAATAATAACAACAACAACATAATGACAATAATAATAACTGTGATCCTCAGGACTGACCAAATCCTTTGATTGCTCTGTACTTTTGCACATGGTTCTCTGTTTATGTGACTTGAAAATGCTCTCCTTCTCTCCCTTATTCATCCTAAGAACAACCATTCACCGATTACACCTTAACTTGAACTTCATCCATAGACCTACCTGACTCTCCACTGGCATCAAATTCATCTCCCCAATTACTCCTCCATATACTTGACATGCATTCAGCTGCTCTGTTGGGACTGTATTGAATGAGTCTATCTCTCCAGCTGGAGAGCTGGGCCCCACCCCGCAGCGTGTCTGATTCAGTAGGTCTGGGGTGGGTCCAAGAATGTGCATTTCTAACAAGTTCTCAGATGCTGCTGCTGCTGCTGGTCTAGGGACCACACTGTGAGAACAGCCGAGCTACACTACAAGACCGTTGAAGGTGGAGACTATGTTTAAGTCACCGTTGCATCCCAAAGGAGCTACAACAGTGCCTGGCACTTAGCAGGTGTGCAGGATTGGTTAGAGATATTTACATTTCTTGTACTTTTTCAAATAAATAAAATCCTTTCCCACACATATGGCTAACATCACTAGAGTGTGACATAACATGGTGTGTGGAGTTGCACAGGATCCGATGGCTACCTTCTTGTTCATTCCTTTGTGAAATCTGGAAACTTTAATAAATACAGGGCGAAACTGTCAATATCCAAGATTCCTTTTTTTTTTTCAACACATTCTTTGTGAAAAGCTCTCCACCTTTTACATAACCAATGTACTTTCTCTGTTGCTCCAGGAAAAAGGAAATAGAGCCAGAAATAGGAGGATATCATCAAAGGCTTGGTCATTCTTTTGCTCCCAACTTCTCAATGGTAAAGCCTCGACCATTTTCCCAGATGCCCTTCTAGACGCTTTGTTCTGTCCCTCCTCTTCTCTCTGCACAAGTACATGGTGGACGGCAGTGCTAACGCTAAAACCTGGGTAATCTGACCTGCAGGTTTACAAATTACCACTACCTTCCCAGACACACCCTCTAGCCCAGCTGTGAGAAAGTTGTAGAAATCCAGACAAGAGAAGTAGTTTCACGTGTAAAGGCTGGGAAGATGTCCCAACCTGCATGATTTGGCAGCTGAAGGCACAGGGAGAAAGATTTTCCAGGGATAGTGGAAGCAAACACACACAGGTATTAAAATACATGGCATGTC